ATTCTGAATAGACGGCTCGGCTGGGCTGCTTCTCGCAGGTGCCGGAGAAATCTGACTTCCAAGTGATACGGTCCCACGGGTGAAAGCCGGGCTGCCACCAGCGATTACAGCCAGACACAGCTCAGACGGGCTTTGCTTACACGTGGTTGCAAATGTTGTTCCAAGGACATCCATATCTAACACCGATTCTTCTAGCAATAACCGAGCACAATGCAAAGCTACAAAGACAAGTGGGGCCTTGCACACACCTGGTGTGATCTGAAACAACGCCTGTGAATTCATCTGACGGGAGCAGCAAACTGCCTGTGAACCCCGGCTGGGAAGCAGTGCTTTACGCTCCTGAGCACTCCAGTAAAGACTCCATTTCTGCCCTTCTCCCACAATATTAATTCATTTCTAGTGCATCTGAGCCACCGGTTCAACCCTCCTTCCTGCTGCTTCTTCACAAAACCTGCCTGAGCTAGAGGAGATGCCCTGGCTACTGCAGAGAGATCCACTGCTGTGTTCACACTCTGGAGGATTTTGTCCCTGGGATGGAAAATGTGGATTAAAATCTCTCCAGAGCAGGGACACGCTGCTCACACTCACACACCTCCGGGCGCGCACACCTCGCAAGCACTCAGTGACTGCCCCGATCGGCACGCCAGCCGCCTTTCCTTCCTCCTGCCTCGCTGCCAGCCACCGAGCACCCTCCCAGCCCTTGCCTGCAGGAGCAGACGTACAGGCATGCCTGCTCCCCTGCCTGCACACAACGGTATGGTTACACACAGGTTCGGAGCTGGCTGCACAGGCACGCACTCGGGGGCCGGCGAGGACATCTTCCCATGCGGGGACGGGGAGGTACACACGTGCACACAGAGCTGGCACGCCGGGACTCACACCTCACAGGGACACACGCGGGTACCCGTGCACAGACCTCACGCACGCCGGAGAGTTGCAGCTCCCACGGCTTTCGGGACACACACAGAAGCCAAGAGACATTATGGCAGGCACTCACTTGGATTTGTTCTCCTCATAGTGAGCACTGGTCTTAATGTATCTGGCCAGTTCTATCTGCATATCGCCGAATAAAGGAACCACCTGCAGCTGCTGGAAAAGAAAACAAAAGATGGTTGAAAAACGGCGGACAGAGAGCCCGTGGTCCCAGCGCAACACAAGGGACTACAAAACGGCATCCTACGTCTCTGCAGCTATAGAAAGTGTCAGGCTGTTTAAAGCAAGGTGCAAACCTGGACCCAGGGTCATTGCACTCCTAGAAAGCGACCACAGGAGATCACAAGGCTTTTTGTGTGAGGAAGATCACCCCCTGCAAGTGCTCCGGAGCCCTGGACTCACCGATACCAGGCTGGTTATTGCCAGAATGGTTCAGTGCTGTCACCAGCCAGAGGAAAGGCTCTTTTTACAACAACAAGAGAGAAGCATATTCCTGAGCAGGGCTTATTGCCCCCACCATAATCCTCCAAGAGAATAGGGGGGATCAAAAGCCAGCACGTTGGTATTTTGGCAGCAAGTTGCTGCGGCTCCCTTCAGAGGGGACCCGTAGGCTGCTTCGCTGCCTGGACTGACAGGGATGTGGCATCTGTCCCCAGGGACTCAGACTGTACTTTGGCACCACGGCTGCTAGTGATGTGTCTTAAAACTTCTCCACAAAAAGACACAGGCAATGGCTGCCTGCAATACAGCATGGCTTTGCTCGCCCTTTACACCTCAGGAGGTTTTAGATGGGAAATAAATTCAAAGTGGACTGAACATACCTCAAGCTCAGACAGGTCCCTGCTTCACTAAGCTTTCAGCTGCAAAAAAAATTCAACCAGGAGCTACCAACACCTCTTCAATAAAATATGAAGCTTCAAGTTCGCCCAGCTACAAAAGCTTTGCCCCAAAATTCAGGCAAGATGGTGGCAAATTCCCTGTCCTATTACCACATGCTTGTCTCCTCAGGCTGGCTTATACGGCGGATGTGCAATGCTGTCATCAGGGATTCTCAGTGGCGCTTTTGTAACGGGTTTAAATGAAGGGGTAGTTCATTTTCACTACTCAAGTTCCTGGTCTATCCACTAGAAATTTAATCAGAAGGCAATAAGCAGATGTAGTAGAGGAGTAGCTGGCCTTTTCTTATTGAGATCTGATAGTCTGGAGCAGTACTTAACTGATTAGGTGAGACCACAGCAGATCTTGGAGAAGTGCAAATGGAATAAAAGCTGGAAAGGGAAAGTTATTCCATGCAATGGAAGATATTTTACCTGATTCTCTGATGGCCCACAGCACTTTGCAATGAACAGCAAATCTGTTTGAATGCACCAAGATGACCAAACTCTACAGGTTACACTGAGGGCTTGATTTAAACTGAGATTCAGTTGAATTAGCAAAGCCAGGGAAAACTCAGAAGACTCCAAGGGATGGTGTGATAAATCACCTTTACAGTCCTCTGCAGTTTCCCCAGTGAGGAGGGTGTTCAACCCCCTCATTATCACCCCGTCCATGAGGTGAGAGCATCTGTCCGTAGTTCCCTACATGGGAGTTAGAGCCCTGCTCACAGAGCTGTCTCCAGGAGATGATGCAAATTGGGGTAAACAGGTCCACACACCCGATTTTGGGGGGAAGCAAGAGGGTTATCCCAAACCTTTCTCATGCTGAGTGGCCCCAGGGCAACGCAGCCTGGCTTCCAGCTGTGAACCAGCCCAGGGCTGGACTGAGCTGCACGTGTGCATGGGCAGAGGGAGGCTGCACGGCTGCTTCCCACCCTGTCACTGGGAGCATCCAGTTCTCGCGGGCCTTTCCCCAAAACCCATATCTCAAATAAGACAAAAACGGTTCATCAAAGCACCAGTTCTTCAAGGAACTTGCTGAGCACTTCCAAGTTCCAGCTGATACAAGCTCCCCAAGGAGCTTTTTCTGTCCTATAAAGAGCACAGTTTGTACACGCAATAAGACCGCCAGATCACATGTTGACTGGCCAGCTGTGTCCCCTGTCCCTTAGGAGGGAAAGGAGAGGGCAACCATCACCCCCACAGACCTCAGCAAACCAGCCAGGTTTGCCGGAGGCCTGAAATGACGGTGCTCCTCACGAGACTGCAAACCTGCCTCAGAAACGTGCAAAGAGATAGAAGCGATGTCAGCCTGGCACGCCCTTCCCTCGTCACAAAACACATATCCCACGTGCCGTCCCCATCCTTCGCCCCCAGCAGGAAGCAGGCAGAGCGGAAGCGGCAGCCGGCTGCCCAGCAAGGGCATGCAGGGCCCTCGGCTCCCACCGGCTCCTTGGTTCCAGCAGCATGGGAGCAGAGCCAGTCCCAGGCACCACTCACACATCCACAGCCTTGCTGGTACGAGGGCTGGCATCGCTCATCTCACCCACGCTGCAGCTCTGTGCCCATGCATGTTCACAGCAATCCCATTCCTCATCCTTCGACCTAGAGAATTGCTTGACCTTTTGGGTTTTTTGGACCTGTAAATGATTCCTGCAGTTTGTTTTTTGCTGGCAGCACGTGCAGTGGTACGGGTCGCTAATTCATTGGTCTGCAATAAACTCCAGCCTCACACAGACAGGTCACTGACCTTGAAGAATTTGTCTATTTTGCTAAGGTTGATTCTCTTCTTGGCATCCAACTTGTAAATGTTGCTGACATTCCCATCCATGAGATACAGGCCAAACCCCATCACCTGGAGAAGACAGAAAGGCTAGGATTCATTAGGGTGAAGCCAGCAGCACAAGTCAAAGACAGTTCTCCATCACTTAGCATATCGAAAGACCATTTCAGGCTCCTGTATCACCTGACAGTCATGAGAAGACTCTATAAAACGTGCACAGATCTACAAGCACGTATGTGGCAGACAGAGCACACATGATGGATTGCTTGTGTTTTCTGAGCAACAACACGTGACGCTTACTCTGGTAATTTGTTCCTCCTCTCTCCCACATAACAACCACCCAAAAGTCTTCTCCACCCAAAAGTGAACATTTACTCCTGGAGAAGAATTGAAAACATTTAAAATATTCTCCTGGATTGATTTTTTTTCCCCTTTAATTCAGTACAAATCATTACAGATATTCAAACTACCCACATTATCCTTCAAAGAACCGTAGCTGACTCATAGCGTGGTAATGAAGTTCTTATGGTAATAGTGACTGCAATCACTGTAATAACTGACTTACAGTAAGGACAAATGTACAAAACAAGCAGATAATTTGGCATGTTCATGTTGAGGGCTCTTTAGAGTCAGGAAACCAAACCTGGAAGGATCTGCCAGCAGGGAATTATTGCTGGGAATGGTCATCAAGAAGAAAATTCAGGTTGCAAAATTGGTGGTGATTTTGGCATGTCCTACACAGTCACCCAGGTCAAGCCCATGATCTCGTACATCCATGCACAACAGAAAAACCCCTTCTAAGCTCTGGAGAGTGCTGGACACCCACTGGTGCTCTTGTCCACCAGCTGGAGACCACCACCACGCATGTGCTTAGTCCCAGGCAGGCAGAGCTGCTGGCAACCTTGGGAAGGACTGGGGGAAAAGACAGAGATGGAGATGGGGAAGAGCAGAGGAAATGGAGAGAAGGAAGATGTTTATATGGGAATATGGGAGAAGGCCAGAAAGGACAGCAGAGAAATGATGGGAGAAGGTCCAAGTTACAGCAGGAACAGAGGCAGCTCACGGCACTGCCCAACAGAGGTGACACTTCAGAGCACTGGGATGGGACATCTCAGACCCACGGCCACGTCTAGTCTGTTCAGCTACAAAGAAGAGGTGAAAGAGGAGAAAATGGGAGGATCGAAGTATTGCAGCAGAAGACACAAAGTACCAGGGATCAGAAGGGAAACAGGAAAGGAGGAAGGCAGCGTTGCTGCCGCACATGGAGAGCTTTCCCATCTCATAGCAACCCCTGTCCAGAGGATGCTGGTCCTGCAGAGAAGGGATGCACGGAAACCCAATGGAGGAAAAAATAAAGAAAACTAAGAGAAACATTGTCCCAGGAGGGAATTTCATTTTGCTGAAAAAAAAAAAGGTGAAACTACGCAAGCACCGCCAAATCTCACCTTTAAAAGCATGTGTTTCTCACTGGGCGTAAGATACATCTTGTTTTCATAGTAGTCCACACAGATGTTGACAATATCAGCCAGCAATTCCTCATAGCCAGGGATAACCTCTAGTTGTTGGTGCAGACACTGAAACATCAACAGGGACCACATTATCTACGTGAACAGAGGACAGAAGGAACCAGGGGAGAAATGTATTTGAAGGATTAACAGTAGAAAGATAAGAGGTTTCTTCAGACCTCATCTGTGTGCTTTTATTAAGTTACAGGCAGAAGATTGACCTCATGGTACCACCTGTAAAGAACAACCTTCCATCTGCAGGACAGCTCTCCCCTTCAGACTGATCACAACAGTCAAATGTCAGACAGTGAGATGCAAAGAAAGATGCCTCAGAAACAGACTTTCTGACTCTCTCCTGTCTCTGCGCAATAATTTACCTAATGAGCAAAAGATTGTGGAATTTGGAGGATCCCGGGTCTGATCTGCGGTCCTCATGCAGTTGCAGAGATGGACTGGATGGATTTACTGGGGAAAATGGGAAGTTTGTGGCAGAAATCCCTCCTGAGAGCTCTTGCATCTTTTTGACTTTCATCCTTGTCTTGACATAAAGAGACCTTCAAAGCCACCCAGGATGACCCACGAGAAGGAGATACTGCTAGAACTGTACAGCCTGACCCAAAAATCATGTGAGTCAGTGGCAATGACCCAACAAACAAGGCAGCTATTGCCACAGTCCAGTCTGAAGCACTGTCAGCCCTGGCGAGATCATTGCCTCTCTCTGCCCACAGAAAGGTTAACTGGTGCAGAGGACAGGGACCTGCCTGTGTGATGCGGTTGTGGTTTGCCAGGAACATGGAGAGGTTCTGGGACTCCTGGATGGACTGGGGGTCTGCCATCTTCCGCAGAAACTGGGCAGCTCTGGAAGGGAGAAATCCAACATCACCAAGGACCACTCACCCAACGTGAGACTCACCACCCATCCTCCCCGTTTCACCTGCAGCTGCAATGCAGCAGCCTCGGAGCAACCCCCTGCAGAACAGCTCTGCTCTTTCCTCATTTTACCAAGAGGGAACCGAAACACAGTGAGGCTCAGAGATTTGCCTAAGCTCACAAAGACAGCCTGCAACAGCGCAGAAAGCCACCCTCCAGCCTCCTGATGTCCACCTGCCCTCACTGCTGGGCAGACCAGGCGCTCCCTTGCAGACCAGGCACGGTCCCGTCCCCACTGCTGCTGCTTCGCCCCCCTCACCTTTTGTAGGCGGAGTGGTCATTTTTGACGCTGCACTTCATGTTCTTCAGCTCATCCAGGACTGCAAACATGTTAATGAACTTGCCCAGCGTGAGGAGATAGGCCTCAGAGACGAAGTCCTTCCTCCGCTCAGCGTGGCACAGGCGCTTCACCTCGCTGCAGAACCGCTCAATAGCTTTGCGCTGGAAGGCAGAGGGACAGGGTCATCCCAGCAGCTCATGAGCGGTCACCATGCCACTGATGGGACCCTCCTCCACCCACCCACCGCCTCCTTCCTTCAACAACAGCGTTTTTCTGCTGGGGAAACGCTGTCGCCATGAAACGAAGCAGTGTTACAAACTGGTGCAGACAAACGTCCTCAGAGCTGGAGGGGAGGAGGGGGGCTCGAACCCTCTATTTGCGTCTGCACCGAGTGCAGCGTGTTCTCTAAAATCAGGCTTCAGTTTTTTAGGTGGGGCATAAGGACCTCATAGGACATAAAACCTAAACATGCCAGTGAAGCTCAGCTGCAGCCACTTATAAACGCAAGTGGAGGTGGGGAGAGGTCCCTGGAGCCCACAGCAGCTCTGTTTGCCACGTGGTCATTACTCTGTCGGGATCTAACCATATCATTTTCTGAAGTGCCTCAAGTGTAGCAACTGCTAAATTTAACCTCTGATGCTTTTTGCCAGCTGACCCCAGAGTTTAGGGTGCTGTGTGAGCACATCCCTGTTCCTGCTGGCAGAGCAGGTGGGTGTCCAGCAGCATGGCTGCATCCCACCCCAGGCACCAGCTGCTCCACCAGCCCTCAGCTCTTCCTGGCTTTGCTTCAGAGGGGAGAGCAGAAGAGCGAGCTGTGCTGGTGCTGGTGGAGAAACATCTCTTGACATCCACCAGCCAACACCCCAGAGAAACAGGAGCCTGTGGCACCCATTAGGTCCGCATAATGGGGACCCTGGTCCTCCATGAACTTCACACTGAGGTCTGCAAGATTTTGGGGCTGAACAAGACACATGGCACAGATTTTGCTTTGGACAGGCCTCAGGTGTCTGCTGGTAGCTGCAAGGAAGAGACCCATCGGGGGACTCGGGGTTCTCCAGGCTGTCCAGGCAGGCAAGGACAGCACAGGATAAGTTAACAATGAAGTCATAAATTATTTTTGCCTCCTTCCTTGACCACTTACCTGAAAATACATGAACTTCATAAGCTTGGTGACTTCTGGCTCCAGGACTTCCACCGTCTTCTCATAAATCTCCACCCGGTTTGGCTGTTCATTACATTTCACCTGCATTGCAAAGACGAATCATCCTTGTAGGATCAGTTTCTAACGGCCACTATCTTCTGGTTGTTTCACAATGAATCCTGTCCCCATCTGAGGACAATGGAGGGACCCAAGAGGGAGCTTGTTCTCAAGGCAATAGTGACAGAAGGGGCTGTTTCTCAGATGTGAAGTTCTCTCCATGCATGATAAGCAGGCACAACCCTGACTCTGAGAAATAAAAATGTTCTAACGCATTTGTCGGGAGTAGAACACATGTGATAAGGACTCTGGATGTGGCAATGTTATATCATAAAGTTATCTGAGCCTTTGTGTTGCAAAGTCCCATGGACACACAAGGCACCAGGCTTCGGCTCTGCTATAGCCTCGCTGGGGTAATTTTGGCTCTGTTGCCAACCTATTAAAAATCACTGGGCTTGTATGTGGCTAGCAGCAATTAAGTGAGTCACCTTCACTGGAATCCTAGAAAGCTAAATTCAAGGACTTACTTATTCAGCTGCCATCCATTTCATTTCCAGACAGTTACTTGCAGTCATCACCAAACTTTTAGGGAAAACCCCAGCTGCCCAAGGCAATGCATCCTGCTTTCCTCCTCTGCTTTTGTTTCCAGTCGTTGCTGACACAAGGCTGTGATGGGGCTGACAGCTCTGGCGCAAATTTAGTAGCCCAGCAGCTGATCCACAGGGCACGAGAGGACAAAGGAGCCAGCTTTACATGTGGGAAGGTGCAAAAGTAGCTTTGCCCTCTCTGTAGTGGGGAATCTAATGTCCCTGCCCTGGTGTTTCATACCGCAGTCAGGCAACAGTGATGGCCATGAGGATGCAGCTGGCGGGAGGGAGGAGAGGTGCACATTTAGGTGCAGGCTGTGTTCTTCACCTGTAAACTCACGGTCTCTGATGGAGCACAGGGAGGTGTACGTGACCGAGCAGTCAGGCTGGGGGCTGCGAATGGGACCCCCCCGGGCCGCAGCCAAATGCGCCATGGCAAAGCGCAGGGGTCATTGCAAGATCAAATCGGGTGGATCTGTAAATGAACCCTCTGCCATGGTGTCGTCTCCTGCTCCGTCACACGCAGCACTGCCTGCAGCCCTGGGGGGGAGGATGGGGCAGAGACCCCACCAGCTGTGCTCGGAGACACACAAACGTCGTGAGGGCAACTGGGATGGGAGGACATTGAAACGCCAAAGCAGATTATCTGTAGCACTGTCTTGCCATCAGTTCAGCCACAGCCTCCCTTCTGTTAGCGTAGCCAGGAGAGGCAATAGCAGCACAGCATCAAATATAAATGGGAGATAAGCAAATAGCCAATCAGCAGCAGAAAGCTCCATGGCTGGGTCTCATGAGACCATCAGCAGAGCATGACCTGAGGGGAACTGAGGTTTGACCTTTCCTGGGGAATTACAAACATGGGCATTGTCAACCACGCGGAAATATTTTTTCCTGGCTCCACAGAAGCGCTGCAAACCCTTTTATCCGTAGGGTTAATGGAAGTGCGCTGCACCCGCCCCAACGCATTGTCATCAGCGTTTCTGCAGTGATCCAGCACGTGTTCACATTGCAGAAGACAAGCTCTGAGCTGGAGTCTGAATCACGATCAGTGGGCCACGTGGGCAACCTTACTCATGTCTGTAGGTGTTTGGAGGATGAAGCCACCGAAATTCAGGTTGGAGAGAGAAGGATTAAAAAACAGTTGAAGCAGAACTAACAGTAGAGGAGAATGATTAAATGTGGGGGTAGATCAGGACCTTCAGGTATATCAGCAGCAAAAAAGAGAATTTGGGGAAATGTTTCTGGCGTATCAAAGTGCTCCTTCATGCATCCTCGCACAACACCTAGAATCCTGGGGCTCCCGTGGGAGCAGAGAGCGCACCTCAAAGTCTGGGCAGCAGTCTGGGATGCTGAAACCTGCCCCAGCTGCATAATCTGCTCTGTGCAAGTCAGGGACAGCCTGAGCCTCCCACATCTCGAGAGGACCCGCTGTTTTCATCCCAGGCTGCCTGGGTGCCCTTCTTCACACAGCGCAAGAGTCCCACTTGGTACTGGGGCAATTTTTAACTGAAGCTGAAGTTGCTGATACCATGCAATGGTATGATACCATGCAATGCTATTAGGAAAGTGTGATATAAACCACATCTGATGATTTCACTTTCAACTTCCAAAACATAACTGCCTTTGCCTGAAGCAGACTCCATCCCCCCTCAACATGAGAGAGAAAAATATTCAAGTGGTGCACTGGGAAGGAAATAACCACATTGCTTTAATTAAAGCAAAGGCTACCCATTCTCCAGACAAAGAAGTGGATAAAGACCCGAGTGACAAAACACAGCACTGTCCCAAGTGCCGTGCTGGACCAGAGCTGTGCTCAGCCGAGCCCTGTTAGCAGCTGCAGGACAAACAAGCTGGTCCTGCAGGGATGAAATAACTTCGGGTGTGACTGCTCTGTGGAGCAAGGGAGAGGCTCGTGAAACCAGGAAATGTATATAAGGCAGTTGGCTTGTGGGGAGTGTGACTGAGCTGAGAGGCACTGCTAGGAGACGTCAGGGATGGAGCTTTCATATACATGAGAGTGCAGAGCAGATGCCCTTTGCTAGGGCAGCAGTATAGATCTGTTTCTGAAATGGCTACAGCTGCTGAGATCAGTGCTTGAGACTTTGGTGGGGAGAGGGCAATTTGAAGAGTCAGTGGTCACTCTTTTCAACCTTTCTATCTACTTCAGTCTTCTCTGATTTTTGTTCTTCTGTCTCCAGTCCAAACTAACCCACACTGAAGACAAAACTAACTAGGTGCTCTGGGAACATCCCTGCCTGGAAAGAGCTCAAGTACCTGGGGAATGGCTCGTGAGCAGCTCCTCCACGTGTAAAGCATCACGGCGTACTCGTGGCCTTCCTCCAGCATTTCATTCTGAAAGACAGAGAGGTGTTGCTGGGGCAGGGCATGCGCCCACGGCTCAGCATCGCTGGGGCAGTGCCCGGGGGACTCACCATGCTGGAGTGCACTGTCGCCTGCTCGATGTACCTGGCAATGCCGGTCACAAAGGCATTTCTGTCTTCAAAGTTTGTGTCAAAATTAGCCTATAGGTGAAATGGAGAGATGGGGATTAAAATATAGCTAGTTGTTTGCTCACCCGATACAGTCCAGCATGGGATGCGTTGGCAAAAAGCAGAATCAGTAGGTTCCCTGGGGCATGGGAGCAGCTTATGAACAGTTTGAGGTGCTGCACCTCTAGGTCTGAGTAGATTCATATATGCAGCCTGAAATGCTTCTGAATCACACGAGAGGAAATTGTGCAAGTTATATGTGTAAAAATATGGCAATCAAGACTGACAAACGCTTGTAAAAGCCAAACCAGGTGGGGATCAGTTACAGGGAACTGCAGCCGCACCAGAGAGCAAACCTAGAGCAATTATTCTAAGGGTTTTAGCTTGGTAACTCAAAGACAGATGCAGCCTCATTAATTTCTATTTGTGCCCTGGCTGCTAGGGGAAGACCACTTAGGAATTGCACAGAATAAACACACAGAAAGGGCAGGGAACGAGGTATCTGGAAAACATAAATATGAAATCAGCACTCATCCAGATGCTATTATGAGCGCTAGTGTTGCTCTTGCAAGGAGATGCTTTGGGATGAACTGTTGTTTTGGAAGTTGACTACTGCTTTGGGTTGGGAGCGCAGGACAGGGGATGAAAAAGCAGCTCCTCAGCCTCTCTGCGCAGAGTGCCCCTTCACACGCTCCGCGCTCGGATAATTTCCTCCGCGAAGGCTGGCTGATGGTATCTGCTGGAGGGCAGAGCCTACAGAACTCCCAGGCACCCAGAGCAGCTCCTTGCAATGACATTAGCATTGCAGCGACCGCATTCACCTCAATAACTGACTTCCTGAGTAGGAAAGCTGGGAGCACAGACCCGTGGCCACAGGGCTACTCTTCTTAGTGCCTCCAGGACATCGTATGTGACAGGAAAAGCTGAGGCTGCATATGCATTTCTGGCTAGCAGGGGAGAGGGCTACATACAAACCAAGTATGGTGAGGAAACAGGCTTGGCTAATATCTCTAGAATCAGTTTAGAAGAGGTTTTTTTTAGCCCCAACAGTGTGCACACACTGGTGGCCCCGAAAGGAGGCTGTGCCGTACGGCTGGACCCCGAGCCTCTCACAGGACACAAGCTAGCAAAGAGTAAAAACGATTTAAAGAAGAGATAAGCAAAAATGATCTGAAGATTTTCCAGAGTGAGCTGAAATTTGAACAGCCCAGAACTGCCTTTGGTTCTGATAACCCATATAGATACTAACGCTACTGAACGAGCCCGCAGTCTGACCTGCTGAAAGAGATACTGTAATTTCAGACTCCTGCATACATGGCACGGCAATCACTGTGCGGGTGTATTTATACACTGCCACGGGCAACTCATGAATTGAGGAGTGGCAGGATGGAGAAAGTAACCCCATATTATATTTAACCCTGGGTGTGTGCTATAGGGCAGGGTGTGGTGTGGTGGCCAAGCAGCCGAGGCATCCCACTGCGAATCCAAAAGCAGGAGTTTGAGCCTTGCCCTGGGCTTATGCCAAGCTTTGCTTGGTCAGTGCAGCTGCAGCTAAATCTGTGGTTGTTCAAGGCAGAGAAGCGATTGTAGCGACTGCCCTCCCTTGCATGCCATCAGCTCCCCAGACCAGCAGCTCCAGCTGTGCGAGCAGCACAGGCCACACAAAGTCAGGCAGAACTTTGATTTTGACCCACTTAGATGCATGCACTACCATAAAAAGGAAGCCCAGACATACGTGCATAATAAAACATCGCTGAGAACTTTCTGCTGTTATCACAAATCTTATCTCCTGCTTCTTACCCGTTCATGCACTCTGATCCTCATTTTTTAACTTCCCTATGTCTTGGTCAGCTTTAAAGATCCCTTTCACCCATCTCTGGCGCTTTCCTTTTAAAGCCTTTGGGAACAGATTTGTGGCTAGATCTGTTCTGAACGTTTCCTTAAACATGGTGAACCCAAGATGTTTTCAGCTATTTCTCACAGCACCATGTGCCCCCCGTGCTTTGCATGAGCTACCGGAACAACCCTCCCTGCCCCGCTGCCTCCGGGAGCTGAAGGTACCTGGTACATGATGGAGGACGGAGGCGGTTCGATGCATGGCTGCTGGTCTGGAAGAGGCAGCTCCTCCAGTAAGTCCACGTTGGACAAGGCATCCTCTAGTGTGACGTGAGTGGTCATGGTTCTGGATGTTCAGTTTCCACGCTAAATCCAAAGGAAAAGAGAAGGTGATAGACAGCAGCCAGAAGACTGAGTGGGAAAGCACCAAAGGACAAAACCGGAATCACGACTTGGCACTGCAGGAGACATTATCCCAGTTTATCTTGTTTTCCTTTTCTTGTGTATTTAACCTACATCTCTATGATATCTATGTCATCTCTCCTTCTGTGATTTAGCAGCAGAGTAGGAATGCAGAATAAGAGGAATACAACTACCCACCCATGCCCTTCTCTGCTTAACTCTATGCAAAACTGCTTAAGACAGAGAACAGCTGGGTGCTGCAGTGCAGCTTTAGCAGCCCCAAGTGAAAGCATGTGCTCTGAAATGCAAAGTGGCGCTATCAAAAATATCTCTCGAAACAGCGCTATTAGAAAAATATGACTGATGCTGACACTCACATACTCTCCTTCTCACACACGTGAACAGCACTGGAAACTGTAAACAACAAATTGCTTTCTCAAAGGTGAACCGGAAAGGATCGAGTGCTGCGCAGGCAGGCTGTGGCACTGCAAGCAGCACAAAAAGAAGCTGCTGTTCCTGCCGTGGAGCTGCCAACGGTGCCAGTTGCGCACGAAATAAAAATCAAAGAGAAACGTTTCTGAAAGCTCACTGGCACTTACGCTAATGGGAACCTCAGGACTAACCTCTACGTCCCTCACCTCCTTTGCCATTCCCATTTGCTGTAAGAGCACAAGCATGGAGGGACGGCTGCTGCCACCCAGGATGAGCGCTTGTATAATCATGGCTACAGGGCTTCCCCAGTTAATACCTAATCCATGTGCAATAGCTGTGGCCAATCTACAGCTTGTGTCTCCTAGAAAAACATCCCATTGCATTTAAATATTTGCAGAGAGAGAGCTCACTTAAAATATTGACATGTCATTTGATTAGCAAATCATCCCCCCCTGTGCTTTTTTACCCCCTCAGAGCCTGTCTAGTTTCAAATGTGAGCCATCGCGTTTTATCACTCTAATCTGCAAGACAGTAGAACTCTCTATTGTTAAAGTTCCCATCAAGATACTCACACATTTCAGTAAAACACCTTGCAACCTTCTCTTTGGCTCAGGCAAGCGGACTGAGCTCTTTGCCTGCCTTCTCACAGAGCGTATTTCCCAATCCTTTAATCATCTCTTTGGCTTTTCTCTAAGCTTGATCCAATTCTGCAACTTTTTTGCTGGCGTGCAGACACCGTAGCAGGACACAGGACTCCAGCAGTGTCTGCACAAGCGCCAGATAAAACAGCAGTGTAACCTCCCTCCTTGCGTACAATCACACCCGTTCCGCTGGTCGCAACAGCAGCTCCGTAGGCGCTCATATTCAGCCGATTACCTGCTACAAATCCCTTAGGTTCTTTTTTTTTTAAATTGAGTCATTGTTTCTAAGACTGTAAGTTTGCTTTTAATTTCCAGCACTGGGAGCACGGAAGGACAATGGCTTTGGGACATCCATACGTAGGCACACGTGCACGCAGCAAGGACCACGGCCAAGGAGGATGCACGCTGTGTGCAGTCCTGGGCTGGCTTCATGTTGGGTGACGAGAGGGATGCGCCTGCTGCTGTGCCTTTAATTATCATTGCTGCCTGCACGCATGGGCTGCAAGAATATGTATGAGCCTGGTAAAACCCATGCCACCTCCACAAACGCCTCCCCAAGGTACCAGGCAGCTGAGAAACAGGCTTGGTTATACCTGCAGCTGAAGTACCATGAAATAAGTGCTTGGAGAAAAAAAAAAAAATAAAAAAAATCTCAAGCAGCACGTTCCCTACATGCTGAAATTTCTGTTTCCTTCTTCACCCCTCTTTGCTAAAATGGTTTCCTGTTACAAATTGTAGCAACTGTCAAAACCAGATTACGCCCTGGCACGCCCGCAGGCAGCAGCAGCAGCTTCCCCCCTGCCTGCAGGCAG